CCCAAAAAATATTTAGAAAATATGCTTATATTACTTCAGAGGAAAAAAAGAATCTAATGAAGAATTGTATGTGATGAGTAGCTTAAGGTTTGAGTTGGAAAGCAGAGTGCGGAATCGGAATAGGAAGTCAGAACTACGTAAAAGTTATAATATATATAAGCCAACAATCTATGTTTTTCTAGAATAATATTAAGAGCCCTTTAAAGCTTAAACAAGGAGTTTCTTTAGATTCTGTTTTATATGCTCTCTCTGATTCCCACTATAGCCTTTGCAAGTAACCGGCACGACCACCAGACGGGAACAACTTTGTTTGTGGTGTCATTTTATAAATAGTAATGTATTTCGTCAGATGACACCACTAGTTGCAACCTAGATCCGCCCCAGCAGTCGTGCTGGTGGTGGTGAATCTTAATGTAAAAATTCTTCACACTATCAACAATAATCCAAATCATGGATATTCCCATAAAACTAATGTTTTGATACCGAGCCTCAGCAGCATATTATTAATTGTTCTTATGTTCTACAATGAATGGTCAAAAAATTACTTAACCGTTAGAATAAGACAATCTACATCTACTGATCGGTCAAAAACGAAGGGCAAATATTATGAACAATCATGTAAAAGGTGACCTTATTTTTAGGTTTTTTTATTTGTGAGCCTTGTTGGCATATTTGGAGCCTTTTATTTAAGGCCTTGTTGGCCAAATAAATGGCATTGTATTTTGAGAGGATGTGACCAATTGTTGGCCAAGCATTTCTTTCTTCTCTTCCTATATAATGAGGACTCTCTACTCATTTGGAAACACACCAACAAGACTTGAGTCTTCATTTCTTGTTTCTTCCTTTCTTCCTTTATTAAGAGTGTTTTGTATGAGAGTTAGTATTGGGAAGCACTTGTGTGAACCCTTTCTTTTAAGTGATCTTGTGAGGTTATTCCCTTAGGGTATTTGGGATTAATTAGAGTATTTACTCCAATTTTGTACTCTCTTTTGTACTCTTATTGGTATAGTAAAATTGTTCATCTCCGCTTGTGGACGTAGGTCACTTTGACCGAACCACGTTAAATTTGTGTCTTCTTTATCTACTTTAATTGTCGTTGTTATCAACTTCCATTGTCTTTGTTATTGCCATTATACCATTGTTTGGCTATATTCCGCACTACCCGGGTTCCCGATCCTAACAAATTGGCATCAGAGCCGAATCTAACCGGGTTAATTTAAATAGCCAAAATGACTCTAACAAAGACCTATGTTGAGAAATTTGATCGAAGTGCAAACTTCAGAATGTGGCAATTAAAAATGGAAGCTATCCTAATTCAGGATGGCTTAGACTTGGCGTTACAAGGAAAGGAGAAGAAGCCGGATAAAATGACGGATGAGGAGTTTGTAGTCATAGACAAAAAGAGCAAAAGCATGTATCATTTTAAATCTCTCAAATGAGGTTTTACGTGAAGTTTCTATAGAAACCACAGCCAAAGGCATGTGGGAAAAATTGAAAACCTTATATATGAAGAGGACGGTGAAAAATAGACTTTACCTGAAGCAGAAGGTTTATACAATTCGTATGGGTGAAGGTACCTCTATTCTCTCTCATCTTGACACCTTTGATTACATTCTTATGGATTTGAGTAATATAGATGCTGAAATTAAAGATGAGGATCAAGCCGTGTTACTGCTTTGTTCTCTACCCCCATCTTTTAAGCATATAAGAGATACTATGCTTTATGCAAAGGATAATATCTCTTATAAGGATATTAAATCTATCTTAAAATCAAAAGAACAGATAGATAGTGATATTACTGGGGAAGCTAGTGGAACTCAAGCGGAAGTTAGCTTGTTTGTTAGGAGCAAATCTGACTCCATATCCAGATACAATAATTTATAGTGTCGCTATTGTCATAAGAAATGTCACAATATCTCTGAATGCTATAAACTGAAAAATAAAGAAAAGCATAAAGAAAGAAAAAATGAGCACAAAAATACTGACACCGCCGAAGCTAGTGTAGCAGCTGATGAAATTGAGGGAACTATATTTTTAGCAACTGAAACGAGTTTTAGATTAGACAATGAGTGAATTTTAGATTTCGATTATTCATATCATATGTGTCCTAGCAGGGACTTGTTTTCTACATATGATTCAGTTGTAGGTGGAATTGTCCAACTGGGTAACAATGTTACTTGCAACGTTATTGGTAAAGGTATAATTCGGTTCAAAATGCACGATGATGTGGTGAGAACTCTCACCGATGTTAGATATGTTCCTGAGTTGAAGAAAAATCTCATATTTTTGGGCACTTTAGAATCCCTTGGGTGCAGATTCACTAGTGAAGGTGGAGTTTTAAAAGTTTTTCAAGATGCTCTTGTGATCATAAAAGCACACAGATCTGGTTCGTTGTATACTTTATTGGGCTCCATTGTTATAGGCCCTACTGCAGTTTCAGTATTAGACAACTTGTTTGATTTTGATGGCATTAAATTTTGACATATGCCCATTGGGGCTTTTACGGAGAAGGTGAAGCAAATTTACTATATCAGCCAAAATTAGGCCAAGGTGGAGATTTGTAAAAGGTGGCCTTATTTTTAGGCTTTTTTATTTGTGAGCCTTGTTGGCACATTTGGAGCCTTTTATTTAAGGCTTTGTTGGCCAAATAAATAGCCTTGTATTTTGAGAGGATGTGGCCAATTGTTGGCCAAGCATTTCTTTCTTCTCTTCCTATATAATGAGGACTCTCTACTCATTTGGAAACACACCAACAAGACTTGAGTCTTCATTTCTTGTTTCTTCCTTTCTTCCTTTATTAAGAGTGTTTTGTATGAGAGTTAGTGTTGGGAAGCACTTGTGTGAACCCTTTCTTTGGAGTGATCTTGTGAGGTTATTCCCTTAGGGTATTTGGGATTAATTAGAGTATTTACTCTAATTTTGTACTCTCTTTTGTACTCTTATTGTTATAGTAAATTGCTCCTCTCCGCTTGTGGACGTAGGTCACTTTGACCGAACCACGTTAAATTTGTGTCTTCTTTATCTACTTTAATTGTCGTTGTTATCAACTTCCATTGTCTTTGTTATTGCCATTATACTGTTGTTTGGCTATATTCCGCACTACCCGGATTCCCGATCCTAACAAATCACTTTTCTAAATGAGTGTAAGTTATATGTAACATGCTGCAAAAACATATCTATTGTCAGATCACTTAAAGGGTAACCTGAGATAAAATTATATATATAATATTAAATGAGCTCACTCAAACGATAATTGAATAAAAAAATTTATAAAATTAAAGACGCAAAAAGTAAAATTTGCATTCAACTTCCAACCGAGTGTGATAAAGCGTATTAGATTTCTCGAGTCCACATCGTCGTTTTGAGCATTTAAGAATGACCAAAATGCCTCCGTATTTTTTCAAATGCCCAATTCGCGTTCCTAATGCTTCCTTTTAGGGAGGCACACAATGATTTTGATAAACTAAAATGACTTTGGTAATATAAGCATTCATAAAGACATGTCTTTTCTGTGAATTAAAGTTATCTTACTTTTCCTCTCAATTTTATTGAGAAATTTTCAGTATTATATCTTGTAAAAGTTAATGGAACAATCAACGTAAATAGATAACTCGTGATGTAATGTAGGAATCAGATTTGCATCTCAAAACATGAAACTCATTTTTACCTTTTGCAAAATAGTATGGATTGCTCAAAAATAATTAAATCTCTTGCAATTCACTCGAGAAATATATTTTGAGTGTTTGACGTTGGAGGTAAATGCTTTGGCTCGTCTTTTGCTCAATGCTTATGTAGAAGTAAGGAAACAAAATTATGAAAAATAATATATCACACAATTTCAAATTAAAATTTGAAAATAGAAATAATAGGAAGAGAAGATAAGAGTGAGAAATTTCTATCAAAACTTGAACCAAAAATCATCTTAAATGAATTAAATTTAGAAAGAACTGAGAGTAGTGCAAAGAATTAGTTGGTGAACGAAATTAGGCAAACAAAATATTCAAAGCAACTCCTCAAATTCTCTAAATATTTAATAGCAATGAAGAGAACATTTGTTAGTGTAATTATGTTTGCTAATATGCTTTTCTGTAAACTGGTTATGGAATTGTAAGAGCTAGCTCTTAAATGGTGATACATGGATAGAAGATTAGAAGAAATTAATTTTTGAAAAATGAAAACTAACCAATAAACCAACAAATGAGGTAATGATTCTTATTAGCTATTATTTAGTAGCAAAAACAAATAGAAAATACAAGGGAATTAATGTTTAAACTTTATGGTTTACAAAATAAACAACAAATTAATGTGTAGTTATAATTCATCATTTAACAGGATGCCCAATTAACCACATTCATGTTATTGTAGTATTATTTAACATTTAATAAGAGGATTCTTTTTAATAGTGAAGATCAAAGGGCTGTTTCAATTTAAATATTTTCTTTTTATTAATTTTCTTAGAATGTATCTTTACATCTTTGTACAAAGTTATAGCTGAAATAATATTATGTTGAAGGGTATTACAGTCATTCACCTTTATAAGGTTATTTCGGTCTTTTAAGTTTTAGTTTGGGTTTTCATATTTATAATATAGTATGATATGATGATTAAATGATATTCTTACAAAATATGAAAAGTTATCTGTTAAAATATGTTATAATACATTGATAGTGTAAGAAAATATTTACATAATTAGTGCTTGTAACTTATACATAGCACTGGTGCTTGTGATTTTGAAGATTCTTTTCTAAATTAGTTTCAACTTGTATCATTATGTTTAATGCTTTCATAAATAAATAGAATTTTTTTTGTAAGGTTGTTGGAGTTAATTTCCGTAGAAACTATTTTCCAAATTTTCCTAGTCTTTTATAACTCGATTTGAAACCAAATTTTTTGATTAAAATTTAGCTAGTCTTTGCCGACTCCTATATTAATTTGTTTTTTTTATATATATATATATATATATATATATATTTCCTAAGGGTTTAAAACAGAGGGAAAGAAAGGCCGAAGAAACGGGAAAACAAGTAACGCTTCCTAAACTCTCTTTTCTACCTTACAATTTATACTGTACCTTTGAAGGTAGTAAATTGATTTTTGCTTTCCGGTTGATCCGACTAACTTGTGAGAAATGGCGATGGACAAGTTGGAATTGCAGATATATAATACACTGACGAAGCAGACGGAGGTTTTCAAATCGAAGGAACCTGGCAAGGTTAAAATGTACATATGTGGTGTTACCCCCTATGACTTCAGTCACATCGGCCATGCCCGTTCATATGTCGCCTTCGACATTCTCTACAGGTCAAATTTTACGGAAATTTGTTTCTATGTGAATGATTGAAGTGCAGATTTTTTTATTTGTTTCGGTTAGAGTTGTTTGTAATTTTGGCCTGTTGCTTTCCTTCTATGTTATGTGTTGGTTTCAAATTGTGATGAATAGTTCATAGAAAGAGTTGATTAATAAAGAAACATGTTTGGAGTTTTGGAAAATGGGAAGTTTGAGTGAAACATGTTCATGTAGGGGAATTTGGGGATCATATTGGAATCTTTCTGAAATAAATAGTTTGAATAGATTTGGAAGTTTATGTTGTTTGTTGTATGTGGGTTAATCAAGTAGGGGATGTTGTTTGATTAAGAACCATGATTGGAAATTTAGGGAGTGGAAGTTTGAGTAAAGCTTAGGGGAATTTGGCGGTCTGATGGGAATTATTCTGAAATAACTAGTTTAAATAAAAACAAAATTGGAACTGTAGCATTATGTCCAATGTTTGTCAGGAGTTCAGTGTGAGATTAAGAGAATTTGTAGTTTAACAGACCCTAAATTATTGAGAATAAGGTAATATCGGAATAATTTTGGCCCCCAAAAAAGNATTTAGCTTTATTTATGAGCTGTTCACAAAATTGTGCATTGAAAAACTTTACTGCCTCATGTGCCATGGCTTCCTTCTCGTCAATCCACACATCATCATTGTTTTGTATTCTTTTCAGTTGTAACCTCTTTCTTCTTCCATTAACTTGCGCATGAAATAATTTTGTATTCCTATCTCCATCATTGAACCAAGACATTCCGGCCTTCTGCTTCCAAAATTCCTCTTCTAAAGCCAAAAATCTAAATAGCTCAGCTTGTACCTTATATAACCTCTCCCTATTTTGGATTGTAGGGTTTAGTTCAAATTGTGTTTTGTGCACCATCACCACCTCTTCAAGACTTGAGATCTTGAAAGGTGTCATGTTTGATCCAAAAATTCAAGAATCTGAAGGTTTTCTTGATGTGTGCTGAATCTGGATTGCAAGTAATTAAAAGAGGACTATGATCTGATCCTATTTTTGACAAATGAGTAATTTCCAATCCCGGTCCCATTTGTTGAAGTTCAAAGTTAGCCAAGCACCTATCCAATCTCTTAAAAATATAATCTTCCTCAGCTCTTCCATTCCACCAAGTGTATATGCTTCCCTTGAAACCAAGATCAAAGAGGTTGCAAGTAGTCACACAATGTCGAAAATTATCTACTTCATTTAGAGAAACTGGCAATCCACCAAATTTTTCTTCCTCATCCCAAATAACATTGAAATCCCCCCCAACTAAAAAGGATTCATATAGCCAATCCTAATTTTGTTTGGGTTGAGGTTTACTAGTAGTAGTAGTTGAGCGGAATTTGGAGATTGATTTTATTGTGTTGGATGGAAAGTTTGTGTTAATTATTTCCCCATCTCCAAAAGAAGTAGACGCTATTTGGAATATAGGGGCAAACAGTCCAGTTTTATTTCAGACCTTGTCTCATTGACTTTAACAACAACCACAATCCCACAAAAATAGGGTTTGGGGAATGTAGTGTGTACGCTTACCTTACCTCCACCTTGTGAAGGTAGAGAGACTGTTTCCGAGAGACACTCGACTCAGAGAAAGCATAGCCTCAATATACTTGAAAAGAAATACATCAAGGGAGAAGCCATGTAAAAAGAAGCAGTAACAAAAAGCAGTATAATAAGACAAGCAAAGCAAAACGGACAACCAGTACTAGAGATCTACGTATCTGAAACTACTAGAGTAATAATGATACTATAGGTGTGAAAAGAGAATATGCTCTACGTCCTACTAACCTTCTACCCTAATTTTCGACCTCCGTGCCTTCCTATCAAGAGTCATGTCCCCGGTAAGTTGTAGATGTGCCATGTCCTTTTTAATTATCTCTCCCCAATACTTCTTCGGCCTACCTCCACTCTCCTTAGGCCCCCATGGTCAACCTCCCACACCTCTTTACTGGGGCATCTGGGAACCTTCTCTTCACATGCTCGAACCATCTCAACCTCTCTTCCCGCGACTTGTCCACCACGGGGGGCCACTCTCACCTTTTACCGAATATTTTCATTTCTAATCTTATTTCTCCTAGTATGTCCGTACATCCATCTCATCATCAACATTTGCATTTGGAAGTTCTTGATTGGCCAACACTCCGCCACGTACAACATAGTCCGCCTAATAACCGCTCTATAAAACTTACCTTTAAGTCTTAGTGGTACATTCTTATTACACATGATACCGGATGCGAGCCTCCACTTCATCCACCCCGGCCCAATACAATGTGTGACATCGTCATCAATATCCCCATTACCTTATATTATTGACCCAAGATATTTGAAACTCCCTCTTTTTGGTATGACTTGTGTATCAAGCCTCGCTTCCATGTCGGCTTCCCGAGTTACGTCACTGAACTTGCACTCCAAGTATTTTGTCTTAGTCCTACTTAACCTGAAACCTTTGGACTCTAAGGTCTGTCTCCAAACCTCCAGCCTAGCGTTAACACCGCCTCGCGTCTCGTTAATCAGTACTATGTCATTTGCAAATAACATGCACCACATCATCTCCCCTTGAATGTGCCGTGTTAATTCATCCATCGCTAAGACAAATAAAAATGAGCTAAGGGCTGATCCCTGATGCAACCCCATCACAATCGGAAAGTGATTTGAGTCTCTTCTCACTGTCATAACCCAGGTCACGGCTCCCTCGTACATGTCCTTAATCACCTTAGTGTATGCTACAGAAACCCCTTTGGCCTCCAAACATTTTCATAGAACTTCTCTGGGGAATCTGTCGTATGCTTTTTCTAGATTAATGAACACCATATGTAAGTTCCGCTTCCTCTCCCTATACTGCTCCACCAATCTTCTCACCAGGTGGATGGCTTCTGTAGTCGATCGCCTCATCATCAGTGGCGGAGCCAGAATTTTCGTTAAGGGGTGTCAAAATATATAAAAGTAAACATACCAAGAAATTAAGGGGAGTCAATACATAGTATATACACATATAATTTATTTTTTTTACCTAGCTACACAGTGTATTTTCCTCACGAAGGGGTGTCATTTGACACCCCTTCCCATAAGGTGGCTCCGCCACTGCTCGTCATGAATCCGAATTGGTTCTCAGAAATAGACAGACTTGTCTCACCTTTTTCTCTACCACCCTTTCCCAAACTTTCATAGTGTGGCTAAGCAAGTTGATACCTCTATAATTGTTGCAATTTTGAATATCGCCTTTGTTCTTGTACAACGGGACCATCGTGCTCCCCCTCCATTCTTCGGGCATCCTAGCCGTCTTAAAAATGACATTAAACAACCTAGTTAGCCACTCCAAACGTGCTATGCTCGCGCTCTTCCAAAATTCTACAAAGATCTCATCTGGCCCGGTCGCTTTTCCCCTACTCATCCTACGCCTAGCCCTTTCAACCTCTTCAACCTTATACGCCTACAATACCCAAATCTTTACGACTCTCGGAGTACTCCAATTCACCCAACACAATATTCTTGTCCCCCTCTTATTGACTTTATGAAAATAAAAAATGCATTGAAACTTAGACGACTTTTAATAGTTATAAATATGGATCGGAAAATTGTAATTAAAAGAAGTTAGCTGATTTGTGTGCTGAACAAAATGGGATAGCAGGAATTGATTTAGTAAATGAAGACTTCTTGTTGCTACTCTTGGTAGTATTAACGACAGTTATGCTGATTTTGGAATTTTTTTTTGAGATTCTGCTGATGAAGATAGAAACTGAATCATTGAAGGAATGTCACCAACTAGCATGGGAAGTGTTCCTATGAAATTGGATTTTTTTAATTTTTATTCTCTCCATTTTTTATTATCAATTTCTCATTACCGTGGATGTTTGATTTTTGTGTTATATTGCATTTCCTGTAGTATAGTATTGTGGCTATTGTAAGTTGTAACGTGTCATACGTGGTTGGTGCATCTTGGCAGCTGTTTACCAGATTAACTTGGACTTAGTAAACATGGGAACCAAAAAGAGCTTTGGTTAATGGTTACCTGCAAAAAGGAGAAAAGGAAAAAGAAAAGAACCCACGAAGAGCTTATTGTTTTAACCTGCATCTTTTTTTATTATCATGGAACTTATGTTTTATCATGTGTTTTGGTATGGCTCAATATCAGTGCATTTAGATTATTTCTTTTAGTAGTCTGTTTTTTTTTTTTTTACTTCAAATTAACTAACAGTCTGATTTGGAATTTACAGGTATCTGAAATACTTGAGATATGATGTTGTGTATGTGCGCAACTTCTCAGATGTAGATGAAAAGGTGAGAATTACATTTATTTTGGGGAGTAAGTCTCTTTTATCTCCCAAGACAAAAGGAACTTCTTTGACCTAAGACGAGGAGACAACTTATTTCTTTTTATTTTACGATAAGCATGGCAATATCAGTTAGCTCACTGTATATAATACTTCAGGTGCTTAACGGTCGGTTCTTTTCAGATAATTCGTCGGGCTAACGAGTTTGGAGAGGACCCAATAGCTTTGAGTGGTCGATACTGCCAGGAGTTTCTAAAAGACATGGATGATCTCCAATGCCTCCCACCAATTCATCAGCCTCGTGTTAGTGAGCATATGGAGGAGATTAAGGAAATGATAGCTAAGGTTCTCACATCTAGATTATCTCTTCCAAAACGTGTTTTGACAGTTAAAAGCCTATTGATGGGCTCCCTCTCGTTATCTCCTTGTAATGTCAAAATTAATGTGGTTTCTCCTACTCCGAAATTTAGTAACATGAATGCCAATCTTTTTCTGTGAAAATTTGTTTCTTCATGACTGCTGCTTTTGGAAAAAAAAAAACACTAAGAACTACATTCCAAGATTGTGTCCTTTACACTAAAGAGAGTCTGTAATATTTATTCTAGTATACAATGAGAGAAATGCATATGTAGTAAGGATGTACAATGCCGTCAGTAGAAGTAAAACTCTGTGTTTGATGAGAGGAAAGTGCAACATGTTGCTTAAAGTCTGCAGTTCTATAATCTTTCTTAGATCTAGCGTAAACTGCTTTTTGTCTTTTCTTCTTCCCCATATATGCTCTGGTTTCTTCAAAATGCCATTATTTATGCACTAATGATCTTTAGGTGTAACCTGTAGGTAATGACTAATGGCTATGCATATACAGTTGATGGAGATGTTTATTTCTCTGTCGATAGTTTTCCAGAGTATGGTCGCATATCTGGACAAAAATTAGAAGATAATCGAGCTGGAGTACGCTTTGCAGTTGATTCAAGAAAGCTAAATCCTGCTGACTTTGCCTTGTGGAAGGTGTGAAGTTTTCTTTTACTTTTCTATAAAGTTACTGCTTTAGCTTTACATGCCAATTTCGTTTCTTTACAGGCTGCAAAGCCTGGTGAACCAAGTTGGGACAGCCCCTGGGGTCGTGGAAGACCAGGTTGGCATATAGAATGCAGTGCAATGAGTGCCTACTATTTAACACATTCTTTTGATATACATGGTGGTGGAATGGACTTGATTTTTCCTCACCATGAGAATGAGATTGCCCAGAATTGCGCTGCTTGTGGCCCGGAGAGTAATGTTAGCTACTGGATGCATAATGGTTTTGTTACCATAGATGATGAGAAAATGTCGAAATCATTGGGGAACTTCTTCACTATACGTGAGGTAGAATGTACTCATTAGCTACTGTCTTAATGTGGTTCTTTTTATAATGCTCTGAATCATAGCATACATGTTTTGTAGGTTACTCGATTGTACCATCCCATTGCATTGAGGTACTTCTTGTTGGGGACGCACTACCGATCTCCTGTTAATTACTCAATATCACAGATAGAAATTGCTTCAGAATCTGTGTATTACATTTATCAGGTTGGGAAAAACTTTTAATATCCTTTTAATACCTCATAGTTCAATTACTTTTGCTTCTCGCTGATCGATACAAGCAATTCTTATGCAATTTTTGGTGTTTCTCTTTAATTTCTGGCTGTTCATTCTAGTTACTTTAGATCTGAGTCGAGAGCATATTCTACAGGCTACTTTTATTGGCTTGTTTTATTGCTACTTCGCATGCACAATAGTTGAACTGAGTGATATATTGTTTATGGTTTCAGCAACATACTAGTTCGGATAAAAACAAAAGGGTTGTCTATACATTTTATATCTATTTCTGAACTTTCTCCTATTACACGAATGTTCATGCAACTTTGAAACTTTGTCTCTCTTAAGACAATCTGTAGTTAGAATCTATCCTTTTTCTTAAAAGTCATTTATTTGGATAATTTTTGTGGTGGATAGACCTTACATGATAGTGAAGAAGCTTTGTCTGCTTTCCAACAAGGAACTGTAACAGAAACAAAAGTAAAGGGGGTGCGTGTTAGCCCTCAGGCCCAAGAATGCATCAGCGAGTTGCGTAATGAATTGGAGACAAAGCTTTCTGACGATTTGCATACACCTGCAATTTTAAATGCTGCTCTTCAAGAAGCCCTTAGACTTATGAATAGCTATGTGAACATGCTGAAGGTGGGAACTCTACCTTCTTTTTTCACTTCTGCACATGGCTGGTGTGGTATAACAAATGTTCCGTTATCTCTTGATACTTTCCAGAAAAAGCAACAACAGTTATCTGTTATTTTGTACCTAAGTGAGCTCCAGAAAGAAGTGAAGGCAGTGCTGGATGTCCTTGGATTGCTCCTTGGTTCAACTTGTGCTGAGGTGCTGTCAAAATTAATACTCCCTGTGTCTCAATTATTTTGGGCAGCTCTTTTTTTTTTTTTGCTTCCGTTTAAAAGATTAGCACCTCTCAATTTTTGTGGTTTAAAAAATTAATACTCCCTGTGTCTCAATTATTTTGGGCAGCTCTTTTTTTTTTTTTGCTTCCGTTTAAAAGATTAGCACCTCTCAATTTTTGTGGTTTAAAAAATTAATACTCCGTGTCTTCTTTCCTATCGAGCAATGCCAAACAGCTTTGTTGCCCAGACTGTCCGAAAATGTCTGGCGATGCATGTCGGATCCTGCAAAAGTAGTATATGTTTGGAGGATCTGACACGGGTACGATAATATTTTGGAGAGTCCGTGCAACATAGCCAAACATATTGGAACAGAGCACATTTTTTCCTATTACTATATGGCCAGTCTCAGATGTTGTCTTATTTAACTCATTTGTTGTGTTGTGCAGGTTTTGCAGCAGTTTAAAGAGAGAGCACTGAAAAGGGCTGACTTGACGGAGGAAGATATTTTGCTTGCAATAGAGGAAAGAGCACTAGCAAGGAAAAATAAGGAGTTTGCAAGAAGCGATCAGATTAGAACTGATTTAGTGGCCAAGGGAATTGCTTTAATGGACATAGGGACATAAACAGTTTGGAGGCCTTGTGTAAGACGTGGACTAGAACAGCCTGCCCCGCCAGCTCAACTTGAGCAGTCTGCTGCAGCAGTGCAAAAAGAACCGCCTGTTGCACCCAGGGATGGCAAATGGGGCGGGGCAGTGCAGGGCAAAGCCTTAATGGGGCAGGGCAGGGCGTGTCAAAACACATTTTCAGAAAATAGTAAATGGGGCAGGGCAGGATTTTAGCTGCAAACTCACTTATGTGCAGACTGCCTAAGAAATTTACTTAACTGCCTTCCATAAGTTAGCAAAGTTAGCTACTAAAGCTGCCCAGACATACAAACATACTGTCATGGGCTGCTTTCCATCATCGACCCATGACCTCTTGGACGCGCCCCGTGGCGTCCCGG